TAAATTCATGAGACTAAGTCTGACATGGAAGCCAACAGAAAAGGAATCTTTATCAGTGCAATATTCTCAGCTTAGGTTTTTTGAACCCTATGTGGTCATGCTTTTGCTGAAAAAGTGATTTAAAAAACCTACAAAAAATTTTTTAGGATACTGAGGAGAGCATGAGAATTATTTAAATTGTGCTGAGAAACGACTTTTGGAACCCAAGAAATTTACCTTAACCCTCTAACTCCCAACATCTTGTTAGTAATTCTCCTAAATGACTGCCATACAATTCCTATGATTTTAGTTCTGAGAATTTGTTATTGGATCAACTAATGAATCCCCTGATTGATATTTGCCTTTATTTTCATCACTTGTCTGCTTGATATTGTATGTATATTGTGAGGAGAAATTTTGGGAGTTCAAGGGTTAAAAGAGATCTGTAACCAAATAACTTTTGTCTTTATTTTGAAGAGTAGATATTTTGAAAGTTAACTTTGAATGGAACTCAACAATGGATGCAGTCATCTTAAAATCATTTTGAATCTTGCCTGGCATATTGCCTGCAATACAACACAATAGATCAGTCCTCATTTCCTATCTCTTTCCAACCCATTTGAACAGTAAGGAGTAAGAAGAAAGAATTTCAAACTTGAACAATGTGTATTGTGTTGCAACCAGAGCAGCAGTTTTTTGTGAACCACACATTCACTGGAATGATGAATAATCCAAACTTTCGTTCTTCTGAAATGAAATGAATGAACTTTTTTTCTTTGTCTGACCAGTGAATTACTTATTCTAATTGTTTATTTAAAAGTTTCTTAATTAACTTGTTCACCCCTGAATTGTTGACATATATTTGTTGTCTTTTTTCCATAGGAAATAAGTACAATTTCCTGCAGCTCAAGAAATTTTTAATTGGCATTTAGCCCAATAAATGTTACAGATCCTCTCTGCAAGGAAGTTTCACAATGGATGATATGGCACAGAAGTGTAAGTTTTGAAACAATTTGAGGTTTGTCATCTGGAGTGCAGATGAGTTCATTAAAATCCCTAGGTTTATTAAGCAACTACACCTGCACCAGTGATAAGTGGCCTTTAAGTAGAGGGTTTGCTGAAAGCATTCATTTGGTGTCCAAAGGGAATTTGCTACATATCAAAGATTGTTTTTTGAGGTTCACATGATATCTGGAGACATTATTTTTTTAACATGAAACCAACCTTTCACTGCTGTGATGACATAAAAAGGCTTAAACCCTGAGTGAAGTACTACCCCACTTAACTCTGAATGAAAACAGAGTCTGAGCAGTGAATTGATTGCAAAAGAAATCTCTCTTTGCTCTTGGTTATTGAAATGAATTACTGTTTTGTTAAACTTAATCCAGTGCTCCTCAGCACACAATGTAATAGAGGAAGTACATACAAAATATTCTGAACAAAATACGTTCTCTTATTGTTTCTCAGGTAGCAAGCTACTAGCAGAGTTATCTTTTGTTAAGGTAACTTTTCATTAATGTTATCAGCTTTCTTGAGCCTCTCCTAGAAGTTAATGTATTTTCATATAT